GATCGACTGGATCCGCGCAGCTCGTCTCCAGCTCAAGAGGAGCTTCGGCTCGGACTTTCCTGTTCTGCGTCTGCACTCTGACCGAGGCGGAGAGTTCTCCTCTGGCCTTCTGCGAGCCTACTGTCGTGCGCGAGGCATCCGCCAGACCTTTACGCTTCCGGACCCTCAACAGCAAAATGGGATTGCTGAGCGCCGCATTGGCATGGTCATGGACGTCGCTCGTACGTCCATGATGCATGCGGCTGCCCCCCATTTTCTGTGGCCGTTTGCGGTTCGGTACGCGGCGCATCAGATCAACCTTCACCCCAGGGTCTCCAGACCGGAGACCTCCCCAGCCTTGCTGTGGACGGGGAAGGTCGGCGATGCGTCTGCGTTCCGTGTCTGGGGATCTCGGGCGTTTGTCCGCGACTTGTTTGCGGACAAGCTGTCCCCTCGTGCTGCTCCCTGTGTCTTTCCTTGGCTTCCCCCCTGACGCCCCTGGGTGGCAGTTCTACCACCCCACCTCTCGTCGTGTTTTGTCCTCCCAGGACGTCACGTTCGACGAGTCAGTACCCTACTACCGCCTCTTCCCCTACCGCACTCCTTCCCTCCCCCCGCCACCGCATTTCCTTGTGCCAGGTCCCCCCCCGGTAGACCCCCTCCCCCCTCAGGGTCCTGCCCCTTCAGGTGTGTCCCAGGTAGATGCAGTTGAGCCGGTCGAGGTTGCTGGTGACTGTGGTACTGCTGCGGGTGCTGAGCCTGGGGGTGCTGACTCTGGAGGTGCTGCGCGCGTGGGTGCTGAGCCTGGAGGTGTTGCGTCTGGGGATGCTGCGACTGGGGGTGCTGAGCCTGGGGGTGCTGAGCCTGGGGGTGCTACGACTTGGGGTGCTGAGCCTGGGGGTGCTACGACTGGGGGTGCTGAGCCTGGGGGTCCTTCACCTGGGGGTGCTGCGTCTGGAGCTACTGAGCCTGGGGGTGCGGAGCCCGCGGCCGCTGGACCTGCTCGTGTGGCGTCTGGAGGTGCTGGGCCTACTGGTTCTCTAGGTGCTTCGTCTCGGCGGGAGCCACTCTCTCCACAGGAGCTGCGCGAGTGGTTTGCCCGGCGCTGGAGGCGTACTACTGGAGCTGGTGCTTCATCGGCTGCTGAGGGTGCTGGTGCCGCAGGTCTCGGAGGTGCTAGTCCTGCGAGTGCTACTGGAGTCGGAGCTGCTGAGGGTGTTGGCGCGGAGGCTACTGCTGTCAGTCCTGGCGGCGGTCCTTTTGCGGGTGCTACTGGTGCTGCTGGAGGTACTGGAGCTGGAGGTGCTGTTGACGCTGTTACTGCCGCTGGGGGTGCTGGTGCTGTCCCTGCTGTGCCTGGAGTCGCCGCGCGGCCTCGGCCGTACTTTGTTCCGCTCCTTCAGCAGGTTCTTGGTCTTCCTCCTCCCTTAGAGTGTCCACCGCCTGTCCAGTCGCAGTCACAGTTACCGCCGGCCTCCCCACTGCCTTCTCCTTCTCCCTACACTGGTCCTACTGGAGGTCTTGCTGAGCGTCGTGAGCCTGCGTCTCCTCCTGCGTCGCCTGTTCGTGCTGCTTGCACTAGTGGTTGCAGTTCGCGTCAGCGTCCTCCTCCTGTCCCTGGCACGCACCGGATGTCTCTGCGTTTGTCCACTGCTCCTCTACGTGCCCCCTTGCCCTCTCCTACTGAGTCCTCTCTTCCTGTGCTTGCCGACCCTGAGTCGGACTCTCTTCGTGCTGCCAGTCCTACTGTCACGCGTCTCCTTGCTACTGTCGTCACTGACCCCTCCTTTGAGTCCACTGCTGCGTCTGCTCTTGTTGCTGAGCTCGTCGACTTTGCTGCTCGCTGTCGTCTAGACTACGGTGCTAGTCTTGTTGCTGAGTCTGCGTCTGTCTGTCCTCCGTCCGTCGGGGGTGAGTGTGCTCTTGGCACGGACGTCCTTGAGGACAGGCAGGAGGAGTTCCACTGTCTGGCTGCTGCTTCACCTCATCTCGCGTCCGTACTGCTTACCCCTGAGGGAGACCCGGATGCACTAGACATCCCGACTCCGCGCTCTTACGCGGAGGCCGTAGAGGGTCCCTACTCCTCTCAGTGGCAGGCAGCTATGGATGCAGAGATGGCTTCCTGGAATTCCACAGGCACCTACGTTGACGCGGTTCCCCCACCTGGGGCGAACATCGTCAGTGGCATGTGGATCTTCAGGGTGAAGCGGCCGCCGGGCTCTCCACCTGTCTTCAAGGCGCGGTACGTGGCTCGTGGCTTCAGTCAGCGGCAGGGAGTTGACTACTTTCAGACCTTCTCTCCCACCCCGAAGATGACCACTCTTCGGGTGCTGCTACACGTAGCCGCTCAGCGTGACTACGAGCTTCACTCCCTTGACTTCAGCACTGCTTTCCTGCAGGGTAGCCTGCACGAGGAGATCTTGTTGCGCCGTCCACCTGGCTTCACTGGGACTTTCCCTCCTGGCACCCAGTGGAGCCTCCGACGGCTAGTCTACGGTCTCCGCCAGGCACCGCGCGAGTGGCACGACACACTGAGGACTACACTTGCGGCTCTTGGGTTTGCTCCCTCTACTGCTGACCCGTCGCTGTTTCTACGCACCGACACCTCTCTGCCGCCGTTCTACATCCTCGTGTACGTCGACGACTTGGTCTTTGCCACAGCTGACACTGCTGGACTCGCCCACGTGAAGTCCGAGCTGCAGAAGAGACACACGTGCACAGACCTGGGTGAACTGCGCAGCTACCTTGGCTTGCAGATCACCCGGGACAGAGCACGCCGCACCATTACCCTGACTCAGTCACACATGGTGCAGCAGGTCGTTCAGCGCTTCGGCTTCATGTACTCCTCGCCTCAGGCCACTCCTCTGTCTACTCGCCACTCGCTCTCAGCTCTGCCTTCGAATGAGTCCGTAGAGTCGAGTGGCCCATACCCAGAGCTTGTTGGCTGCCTCATGTACCTGATGACCTGCACACGACCTGACCTTGCATACCCTCTTAGCATTCTTGCACGCTATGTTGCTCCTGGGAGACACAGACCAGAGCACATGGCTGCAGCGAAGAGGGTGTTGCGCTACTTGTGCAGTACGTCGGGCATGGGGCTAGTGCTTGGAGGGCGGAGTCCAGTGGTCCTCACTGGGCACGCGGACGCTTCTTGGGCAGACGACCAGGCTACGCAGCGGTCGTCACAGGGTCACACCTTCAGCCTTGGTTCCGGCTCTGTTTCGTGGCGGGCTACTTGCTCGTCTTATGTTCTCGGCTCCAGTTGTGAGGCTGAGATCTACGCCGGGGCCATGGCTGCACAGGAGCTTCGCTGGCTCACCTACCTGCTGTCTGACCTTGGAGAGCCGCCTCGTTCTCCTCCAGTGCTGTACGTACACAACAAGGCCATGCTGGCCTTGTGTCGAGAGCAGAGACTGGAGCACAGAACGAAGCACATTGCTCTTCGCTACTTCCTTGCTCGTGAGCTGCAGCAGCGTGGTCAGTTGCGTCTTGCGTACGTGGCCTCTAAGGCCAACACTGCTGATATCTTCACCAAGGCACTTGCGCCTTGCGATCATCAGCGCTTCTGTACTCAGCTTGGTCTTGTGCTTGTCTTGCCTCACTTGCTCACCTCTTGACCTTGCTTGTACTGTTACATATATATACACCTGATCTTGCTTGTCTTGCTTTCTATATATATGTACTCATGCATGTGAACTGGTCTTGTGGCCTTGAACTTGTGCTCGGAATGTGTGGTGACTTTGTGATCCACCCTGAGCTTGCTTTGCTTTGCTTTGCTTGACTGGTCTTGTGACCGCTTGTTCTCCCCCACTTTGCCTATGGGGGTGTGTCAGAACATTATAGCTTATGCTTTTGTGTAGGCTGTAGTGGGGTAGCCCATGTAGGGTACAACTCAATTAGGGTTAGTACTTGTACCCAACTGTTTCATAGCTCATTCATTCTCGTTCACATTTTCTCACGCAGGGCGCGGGGAGGTGCGGGCGCAGGGCCCAGGGCATAGGGAGGCGACGGGCGACGGGCGCAGGGCGAGGGTAGGGACGCGACAGCGGGCAGGCGCGACGCGACGGGCGTTTAGGGCAGCGGGGGGAGGGCGCTTCGCGACGAGTAGCGGGGGAGGGCACGACGGGACGACATGGGGAGAGAGCGCGACGCGACGGGGGCCGGGGAAGGAGCGATTCGACGGGCAGCGGGGGGGAAAACGCGACTCGACGGGCAGCGGGGGGAAAAACGCGACTCGACGGGCAGCAGGGGGGGGAAACGCGACGGCAGCAAGGGGGAAGGGGGGGGAGAAGGTCGCTACGCTATGAGAGCAGTGGATCGGCGGAACGAGTGGTAACGAACGAACGCGACTAGAGCGGGCCGGCGCTAGGCTCGTGCAAGACGTGCGCAACTAGTGCGACAGAGTGAGACAGGCTCGGGCGAAACGAACGAGGTCGGGAGAAGCGGGATCCCACAGGATCCGAACCTAGGTGATACCATGTCAAGAAAGGAAGTGATGATGTCATTGATGTGAGTTGGGGTACATATGACAAACCCTAACCTCTGTACCCCCTAAGACAAACCTCACTATAGGCTACAACATTTGACAGCAATGTCCCATGTCTTACACCTCTGCACCGAACCACTCGGCAAATTGACCCCAGTGACCATGAGTGTGTCTAAAATTTCCCGCGTCGCGCTCCCAACGTTTGGGGATTCACGCCGGGAATTTTGACGATGGGTTTCGCGTGGTTTCGCGTGGGTCTTGCTAGGATCTTTCGAACTGTTTTGGCATCCCTCCATTGGATGCGACTGTTGTGGGGAGCGTGATTTTGGCGCGAAAATCCTCGCGGCTCTTTGGGGGTCGCATGAGTTCGGATGACCCAAAGTGGTGTTTTATGTTGTTTGGGTCATCCGCAAATTGCGGATGCCCGGAGCAGTGCTCATGACCCGAACATGGATACACCCTCATACCCATATGAAATGAAGCACGATGCCTTTACAAGTTGGTGAAAGCAAGCTTTCACAATCCACAGATTCAGTTAAAACCCCCCCGCACCCCCAGCCATGTATCTGTTTGTAACATGTTGCGAGCTAAACTCTACAGCATCACCAGCAGAAAGCAGAGGCAGACTGGATTTACTTGCGCTTTTAGACGATTCCCGCCGCGACAGCCCCTTGCCTTTCCCATCCCTTCCAACAGCACCCTCCTTCCCACTCTCTCCCGTCCCCTCCTTGCTCCCTGCTGGTCTGCCCACCTCTTGGTACCGATGCTTCTTCTTCTCCTTTCCACTCCCACCACCCCCTGCCTGGTCAACCCGCTGGGCAGGAGCCGAAACGGTCCTACTGAAACTCCTGCTACTGCCTGACCCAGACCCTCCTCCCCCTCCTCCTCCTCCACCTCCTCCCCCACTCCCTCCTCCGCCCCCACTCCCCCACCGGCCAGCAACAACAGCACCAGCAGCAGCACCACCAGCCGCAGCACCACCACCAGTAGAGGCAGAAGTAGGTAAGGGGCCGGCAAGCGTGGGTTGGAAGTTATACTTAGGCTCTTCTCCCTGAATATGCAAATCTTGCACCTTGTGCTGGATGGCGGAGAGGCGAGTTGCCACCTCAGCCATGGACGGTCGCTGGGCGGCACTCTTTTGGACGCACATGGCTGCCACGCTGGCGAGCGCTTTCATTGCTCCCAGGGGGTAGTTGTTTTCGAGGGCTGGATCGACCACTGACTTGAGCTTGCCTGCTGCTATCAGCGGAATGGCCTGGATGGAGGGAAGGGAGGGGAGGCACAGAGAGAGGGAGAGGAAGAGGGAGAGGGAGACAAGGGACAGCTTAGAGTCGACAGGCTTGAGCAGGGGTAGTTGTTTTCAAGGGCTGGGTCGACCACAGACTTGAGCTTGCCTGCTGCTATCAGGGGAATGGCCTGGATAGGGGGTAAGGGAAGGGAGGGAAGGAGGGGGCGTGCGAGAGGGAGAGAAGGGACAGCGTAGAGTCGACAGGTTCGAGCAGGAGTAGTTGTTTCCGAGGACCGGGTCTGCTACGGCCTTGAGCTTGCCTGCTGCTATCAGCGGAATGGCCTGGATGGATGGAGGGGTGGGGGAGGGGTGTGCGAGAGGGACACCAGAGACAGCTTAGTGTTGACTACAGACTTGAGCTTGCCTGCTGCTATCAGCGGAATGGCCTGGATGGATGGAGGGGTGGGGGAGGGGTGTGCGAGAGGGACACCAGAGACAGCTTAGTGTTGACTACAGACTTGAGCTTGCCTGCTGCTATCAGCGGAATGGCCTGGATGGACGGGTGGGAGGGGAGGGGAGGGAGAGGGAGAGGGAGAAAAAGACAAGCTAGTGTAGTTGTATCCGAGGGCCGGGTCTGCTGCGAATTTCAGCTTCCCTGCTGTGATCAGAGGAATGGCCTGGATAGACGGGTGGGAAGGGAGAGAAGGGGCGTGCAAGAGGTAGAGGTAGGTAAGGGAGGACTTTGGGTCACATGATGTTGCAGGAGTAATTTACAAGAAAGAAGAGACAAAAATCATCATACCATACTGACAGTAATTATAAAGGAAAAAAAAGGACAGAAAGAAAAAAAAAGAAAAAAGAAAAAAAGATCGAGAGACTCACCCAGCTGACGAGCGTCGTCATGACCCGCATGCTCGACTTGTTTTCTTCTTAAAGCCCAGCATATGGTAAAAAGGTGTGCAAGAGTAATAGTACCAACAATGGGGAGACTCACCCAGCTGACGAGCGTCGTGATGGCCCGCATACTCGACTTCTTGTTCTTCTTAAAGCCCAGCATCTCCATCTCCTTCTGCTGCTGCGTCTTCCCCCCCACGCCTGGTCTCAGCCACAGCAAAGCCGCCATGCTGCCTGCTATGCCCTTCTTTCTATTCTCAGATAAAATCGCCCGCTGCCCTGTAATCAGCTCCAAAAGAACCACGCCGAAACTATAAACATCACTTTTTGCCGATGCGATGTAGGTTTTTGAGTATTCCGGGTCGCAATACCCCGGGGTGCCCATGAGTCGGGTATGGCTTACCCCCGCACCGCCCCCTCCTGGCCCTCCCAGATCAGCCGATTTCAGCAGCCCGAAATCCGCAATCTTCGCCTGGAGTTTATCTGTTAATAAGATATTATCCGATTTGATATCGCGGTGGATCACAGAATCGGCAGCGAAATCGTGCAGGTATCGCAGCCCCTCCGCGGCTCCTACAGCGATGCTCACTCTTTCATCAAACGTCAGAGGAGGTGGGAGGTCCAACGCACGCGCAGCAGCAGCAGAAGCGGCCTTGCTAGTCGAGGCAGATGACGGGTAGAGCTTGAAGAACGGCTTGCTGTCTTTGGCGTGGGCTTCGGAAGCGGGGTGGGAGGAGGCGAGGTGGGAGGCGCTGCGGTGGAGGCGAGAGGAGAGCATGCCACTGTGCATGAACTCGTAGACGAGGATTCGCTCGTCACAGTCCGCCCAGAAGCCTATGAGTCGCACGAGATGCTGGTGGGCCATGCGACTCATGAATGACACCTGGGAGAGGGAACGGTGGCAAGTGGTTGCAAGGAGTGACAAGGAGTGACCAGGAGTGGCAAAGTAGCCTATGAGACACACAAGGTGCTGATGGGCCATGCGACTGACCTCAAGCTGACTCACCTCTTTCTCAAACTCCTCAAGCTGCTCGTCTGAAACTGTGTTCGCACGCTTCACAGCCCATACCTCCCTTCCTGTTCGCATCAGAGCAGCTTTTCTCAATACCTCACCTCACCCACACCTTATCCACAGACTCTCACCTCTTTCTCAAACTCCTCCAGCTGCTCGTCTGAAACCGTATTCGCGCGCTTCACCGCCCACACCTCCCCGTTAGCAGCATCCCCTCTATAGACACACCCGAACCCGCCCTCTCCAAGCTTTCTCCTCGGATCCCACGAGTCTGTAGCTGCTAAAATCTCTTCCAAAGGGATTTGCCGGGACAGCCCTGCACCCATCACACCTATACTTATCCCCATGCCCATCCCCATCCCCATGCCCAAGCTCGATCCTGTTCCGAAGGGCCCGCCCATCCGTGCCCAAGGGTTGGCAGTGGGGGGAGCCAGGCCCTGGGTTGGGCAGGAGGTTCGGTCGGAGGCTCGGTCGGAGGCTCGGCCAGACAGCTTGCCGAAGCTGAAGCTGCTGCCGTCCGAACCTGTGGCGTCGCTTCGGCCGCTCTCATATATGGTGCTCCCGATCTGCCCGCCTATTTTCCCTTCCCGCTGGGCTGCTATATCAGCAGCGGAGGGGGTGGTGGGAGTGCCGGGAAGGTTCGATCGACCAGTGGGAGTTCCTGCCCCACTAGAACCAGCAGCAGTAGCAGCGGCGGCGGCTGCGGCGGCGGCAGCGGCAGCGGCAGCTGCGGCTTTGGAAACCCTAACGTTCACTGCTGCTGCTCTCCCTCCTCCTACACCTCCTCCTCCTACCACCCCTCCTCTTACCCCACTGCCCTCGCTCATCCAACCCAACTCCCTCTCCACCAATCGCTGCTGCACTTTCTCCCTAAAGTCCGGGAGCACGAGACGGAGGAGTTCAGAGCGGTGACACATGAGCAGATCGGATTCCTTAGACCTAGGGGCGCCCAACTCGTTAAGAAGCATGGTCACCGGCACTACAGAGGGGATACAGGCCAGTGGGAGGTCGTCAGGGTCGCTACACCCCACCCACTTGGTGTACCAAATCAGATCTGATATGCGATCTAATAAGATCTGTGTGCACAGGCGCTGGTTGGGGCGACTGCTGCCTTGAGCCATGGAAGAAGATGCCCCTGCATGGTGAGGGGAGTGAGTAGATGGGAGGGAAGGATGGCAGTAAGAAGGGTGAATAGATGGATGAGTAAAAAGGTCTATTTTAGAGGCGCCTCAACAAGCGTGAGCACAGGCGCTGGTTGGGGCGAGTGCTGCCTGAGTCATGGAAAAGGATGCCAACAAGGGTGAATAGTAGGACATGCAGGAGAGTATAGGCACGAGTAACAATTTTTGAGGCGCCTCAAAAAACATGCAGGAGAGTAACAGGCACGAGTAACAGGATAGACCCACACAAAGAGCAGTGTTCTTAGAAGCGTGATTACCATGATTGAAAGTTCCGCGTGAGGTTGCTGCAGGTTTGCCAACAGTGCTGCCGCCGCTGCTGCTCTTCCTGCTCTCGTCATCCCTTGCCAAGGGCCCTCTAGGCGATCTCGGTGATACCTCCCTGCTACTCTCATCCCCCCCTTCATCCTTCCCACTACTGAACCCACCAGCAGCGGCACCAACAGGACTAGGAGCAGCAGCAGCAGCAGCAGCAGTAGCAGCTGCTGCTGACTTGAACAGATTCCGTAGCTCCCCCATCCCATCGTCCCACACAATCACCTCTTTCAACGCGCCCCCTTCGTTACTGTCACACTCAGCACTCAGCCTAGCCCAGTCATTTTGAGGACACACCAGCAGAGGCACCTCCCTCCCCCCACCACCTCCCCCCGCACCAGATACAGCCTCCCCCAGCCCATCCCTACACGCAGATACACCCTCCCCAGCTGCCCCCGCAGCTTCTCCGCCCACCTTCCTCTGAACGCCTCCCAACTCCTGGCTATCCCTCAGAACCGTGAGATCCTCCTCTCCTGCCCCCTCTGCTGCTGCGCGAACGGCCTTCCCCAGGAGGGAAAGGCGGGCGAGGGAGCGAGCGTGGGTGATCCCAAGACCGTACAGGGAACCTTTACACGCTGAAAAGATTTCCTCTATCTCGTTTGAGATCTCTGTGAGGAGAGATAAGGCGGCTTGCTGCTGGAGTTGTAGCAGCTGCTGCACCTGTTGCTGCCGTTTCCCTGCTATGTGCTGCTGCTGCTCCTGCTGCTGTTTGTCTGCTGTTTCCGCTGCACCTACTGCTGACTCTGCTGCTGCATCTGTCTCTGGTTGCGCTGCTGCCTGTGTCTGCGGCTCTTGTTCCTTCGCCTCTGGAAATACGGTCAACAGCTGTTGCGTCTCCTGCTTCACCCGCAGAGCAAACAGGCGCACCAGCAGCAGCGGGCAGCGGCGGGCGTCGCCCTGAAAGAGGGGAGCAGGGCGGAACAAGGAGGAAGGGGGGGGGTGTGACGGAAAGGGGGATGCGATGAGGATCCTGGGAGTGCAATGGGAGTGATGCAATGAGCAAACAGGCGGACTAGCAGCAGAGGGCAGCGGCAGGCGTCGCCCTGAGAGAGAGGAGCAGAGCAAGGGGAGGGTGCAGAGGAGAGAGAGGTGGGCAGGGGAAAGAAGGGGAACAGGGGGAATCGTTCTGAGACGCTTTAGAGTGCTGCACCCGCAGGGCAAAGAGGCGGACTAGCAGCAGCAGGGAATGAAAGGGTGGCGCGGGCAGGGGCAGGAGAGGCGAACCGGGAGGGGAGGGGAGAGGGGGGAAGAAAAGGTGGGATGCGTTGTGAGAGAAACATTTGAAAGACCTCACCATCTGTTGGAGCTTCCAACGCATTTTCCAGCACCGCACCAACGCACTCCTTCTCACCTCATCTGAGCCATTCATCGTCATTTCTTACCTCATCTGAGCCGTTCATCCTGTCCCGGGCCATGCCTGCCAGCTCATCCGCCATCTGCTGCAGCTCCTTCACCTCGCTGCCACGTGGCAGCGCGCCAGTGGTCAGCGGCGCCAGCAGCAGCGTGTCATACGCAGCCATGGCGTCTTGTACGGCGAAAAAGAGGTCATTCCACTCCAGCGCCAGTGAGGGGCATGCTGTGAGGTCGAAGCACGATGAGCCTGAGAGGACAGGGGGGCGGGGAGGGGAGGAGATGGAGCAGCGGCAGCGTGTCATACGCAGCCATGGCGTCCTGTAGGGCGAAGAAGAGGTCATTCCACTCCAGCGCCAGTGAGGGGCATGCTGTGAGGTCGAAGCACGATGAGCCTGAGAGGACAGGGGGGCGGGGAGGGGAGGAGATGGAGCAGCGGCAGCGTGTCATACGCAGCCATGGCGTCCTGTAGGGCGAAGAAGAGGTCATTCCACTCCAGCGCCAGTGAGGGGCATGCTGTGAGGTCGAAGCACGATGAGACTGAGGTAAACGATGGCGGAAGCAGGAGGCAGGTCAACACGAGGGAGGCCAACGCAGGGTTGGAAGGAGGTCAACGCAGGGGATTGGTGGAGGGTGGTCAACGCAGAGGGGAGGTGGCACCTACCAGGCAGGAAAGGCGCATCAGTCATAGACAGCTGCTCCGACCAATCCCGGCCCGGACTGCTCGTCGTAGACCCTCCCTCTCCTCCTCCGCCTCCCCCTCTCGCTCCCCCTCCCCTTCCACTGGGGACGGAAGCAGAAGCGGGCAGATGGGGCGTGATAGGCCCTGAGCCACCGGCTCTAGCCAGGGTAGGGGCTGTGGCGTCTGTAGAACCGTCAGGGATGGAAGAGGAGTGCGAGAGGGAGAGGTTCGAACGCAAGTCCGCGGATCGACGGCGGACGTGCGTGCGAGGAGGGGTATCCGCAATCCCTCCTGCTGCACCTGCTGTTGCAACTCCTCCTGCTGCTGCTGCTGCTCCTGCTGCTGGAGCAGGGGAGGCTACCTGGGGGGAATGGAACCGTTGCAGGTATGCAGCGGCGCCTGCTCTACTGAAAGGCTCCGTCCTCATAACGGGACCGTCTGCACCGTGTATGGGGGACGTGCCCTTGCTCCCACCAGGGGTTGTCCCGCCAGACTTATGCTGAAACTGCTGTTTGCCAATAACGGGGACAGCCACTGTCTCCATATCATTCCCTAGACTAACCGCCCTCGCAATGCCGCTAATCCTTCCCCCTCCTCCGCCGCCCGCGGCTCCGCCTCCTCCACTGCCTGTTCCCGTGGACGGGCGGTATGGGCGGGTGGCGCTGCGGCTGAGGACGCCCCTGCTTCCGCCGCACATACTGCTGCCCCGCGCGCTGCTGCTGGCGATAGAACTGGATGTGAATATAGAGGATGACATGTGGCTCTGACCAATGGCGCTGCGATTATAGTCGTCTGCGAGAATAACGGAAAGGACAACGGAATGGACGGTGGAGATTAAAGAACGAAAATTGACGCAGTCGGTGGCAACTGTGCGTTTGTCTGACGTGCACATCCCATAATTTTTGCAATATCGTGTGATAAGACGTCGCAAATCTGCTCTGCCTTTCAGTAAACAGTATAATTCTCCACAATAGCCTCTGCTCGTGACGGAGCTGGCATCGCGCCAAAGGAACAGACACGCAAAAAAAAAAAAAAAAAAAAAAGACACGAACACGAGAAAAAAAAACGGCTTACGAGAAAAACCAATGGTTTGTGCACCGTGGTCCGACTACTGTGACATTACCTGTGTCCCCATAAGCGTTGTTGTAGGGGTCGAGCTCGAGGACTCTATTATTGAGGTTCCTAAGAAAAAAAAAAATTGGCGTGTATACCACGTCCCGTTACATTACCTGTGTCTCCTTCGGCATCGTTCCAGGGGTCAAGCTCCGAGAGGCACGCGTTCAAGACTTGAAGCAGTCCCTCGCACTTCCACGCCACACGCGCACTGTGTCTCTCCGCATCCTTCTCCGCTTTCTCCGCCTCCTTCCCCGCATCGGGGACGGACAGTTCCGCGGTTTGCGCGACTCCTGCGTCATTGCTCTGCGACGTCTCAGAAGAAACGGCCGACGGTTCTGCAGATTGCGATACTCTAGCGGCTTCTCGCGAGTGATAAGCGCTTACAGCGGGGATAAGCGCGCCGAACGCGAGTTCGACCAACGATGCGGGACACGAGACATCGTTAGGGCCGGGAGACCCGACTCGACCGAGAAGCCATGTGCGCTTTTGCGAGGAACCAGTATGGATTCCACTCGCACTCGACATTGCATTACTATGTCAGAATATTAGAATATTATTACTAAGTAAGCGGCGTAGTCAAGGTTAGATTCAAGAGGCGTGGCTTTGGAACGAAAAGTGGAAACCTTCACAGCGGATGTGTGTCTTAGCGCTTTGAGAGTAGCCTATGTCTGGGCAACGGTGAACATAAATTAGTGCATATATTTCTTAGGGTAGCTTAAGTTAGGAAAGTCAAGTGCGTCAAATAGTTATCGCAAGAAGCAATGCCGTGCCGAGCTGGTGTCTAACTGCTTGGAAGCCTAACTTGCAAGCCTGCCCTGCTGAGTCAACTCTCCGTTCTGAGCTGGTTTCCTGCTGCTTGGCTCGCTGTCAGGAACAGCCAACGCTAGCAGAACAAGCGACTTCCGTTCCGTTCTGTTCTGTGTCTTGCTTGAATCGTCGAGCAAAGCGCCAACGCTGGTGGAGTCTGCGCTACTGTTCCCACCTTCGTCAAGCCTTCGGTGTTGTCGGCAATTTGCGAGACTTTTCGTCTCGCAATATTCGTCAATACGACTCGTGCCCAATTAAATGTCGTCGTTGTGCAGCGAACATCCTCGACTAATTAATTCTGCTTTCCATCTCATTCGTAACCAACTAACCTCTCAACTGTACTCCGAGCACGTAGAGCGGACAATATTTCTTCATCGTACGGCAGCCAGGACCTGGAGGTTGCGCCCACTACCCACTGCACCCCGAGAACGGACGGGTGGGGCTGGAATACTTACCAAATTTCACATGCGGCACGACGCTGATTGATGGGGCAGTTTTTCAGGGTTATCCAATAAGCTCTAGAAGACGTGCATGAAATCGAGGTGATCCAGCCGTCCGTTTACTTGGATGGTGTCATTGTTACATGAGCCACAATGCCCCAATGTTGGTTTCCGCCAAGCTGTAGTACAAATGTTCTCGTTTATAGTCCGACGGATCCACATCGCCGCGCGCGGACGATGTGCAAAACCCTTCAAACCCCGGGCAAAACGCGACACTTAAAGTCCAGTTCAAGATAATTGCATGAAGAGTGGTTGTTTCGCTACTAGTTTATGGATTTTGGCATTTACGTAGATTTGGACCGCGCTTGCTTCAACTTCCAGTCGCTCGGTTTTCCACGCTGATCAATGTCGCATGACTAAAGGAAAAAAACAAAAAGCAAAATCAACTATAGTTTGGGGGTTGTAAGGAATTTTCTCGGCATTCCTTACGGAGCCGACTACATCGCGTACAGCAACAGCCGATTGTTCGCCCGTTACGGCTAACGGAACTTCGCCGACTTCGCGCGCACTGTTTTACCAAACCTCGCACTGCTGGCATGGCCGTATCGGCCTACGCTTCGGGACTAGCCCGAGCCTCGCTCCAGCGTAGCACTAGCAAGCTCGCACGCACCGCGTTACCGTTTTGCATGTTTCGCGTATAAATGTTCGCTCATGCCTTCGCTCACATTTTGTACTCGTTTGACACCTTAGTGCAATTCTCGCTACCTCGATTCATTGCACCCGTAACACTTGGTATCAGAGCCCCTTTCTTTCGGACCGCGCATCTCCGCACACCAGGAAATCAACTTTGGTTTTTTCACTCGAAGGGACTCACGCACCTTAGCCCCTAGGAGCCGCTGTCCTCGCGTTCTCTCGTAAACGCGTGCAGCCACGACTGCGCCTAGACTAAGACGAGCCGACGCCCTTCGTCATGGCCGAAAACATCGACGTCACCACTCTCACGCAGGAGCGTTTGAACGATCTGTTGCGACAACTGCACGAAAGCTCCGAGGAAATCGCGGCATTGACGGCAGAACGCTCATCACTGCAAAATGACCTCCTGAGAGCACAATCTCAAGCACCTGGCACTCCGATTCAACCCGCACCCTCAACATCACAACACGGGAGTGTGGGGCAACCCGCGAGCGCGGCCAGTGATGGCGTCGTCCGCCCCGACGGAGACGACGACCACGGCACGACACACCCCAGAGCGACGCCTGCGGCCCCAAGTCAGCCTCGCGTCACGATTTCGGCACCAACCCACGATTCGGGACTGCCGTCACCGATGCCGCTGAAGCCGCAGCGCCCGCCATGCTTTGACCCGAGTCAACGGGGTGGTCCTACCGTTCAGGCGTGGTTATTCACAATGAATGTTTTCTTCGACGCCAACTACGTCTCGGAGGACTCGGCGAAGATTCGATACGCCGTGTCGTTGCTGCGAGGACCCGCCATGGACTGGTGGCGCGTCATCGTCACGAAGCCGACCGACTACGCGACACTACCGACACGGGAAGGACAAACCGGACCCTGGGCGCCGTCGTATTTCGTGGAGGTGCCCCAGTATCGCACGTGGGACGCGTGGTGCGCAGGTCTGCGCGCTCGATTTGAGCCAATCGCGGCCTCGATCTCGGCGCGACAGAAGCTCCGCACTTGGCGCCAACTCGGTTCCGTCCAGGATTACACGAGCGGATTTCTGGCGCTATGCGAGCAGGTGGGCTACATGCATGAGAGCGAACGCATCGACCGCTACATCGGCGGCCTGAAGCAGGACATCGCTCAGGAAATCCAGCTTCGCGGCGTCACTGAGTTTCAGGAAATTCTCGCTATGGCGGAGAAGCTCGACTTCTTTCGCCGACCGAGACCGGGGTCCTACGGAAACAACACCTGGGGACATCGGCCTCGTGGGACGAACGAGAGCGCCACGATACGCGCCGTCGCCGCAAATGCCGCTGCCGCACCGTTCAAAGGGCGCTGCTTTGCGTGCAATCGGCCGGGACATCGCAAGAGCGAATGCCCGGAAAACGCTAAGGGAAAGGGGGAAGCTGAGCAGCAGACACAGACCAAGCAGCAGGGAAACGCTGGAAGTCAGTAGCAGACGGGCCCTCTACTGACAGGTCACGCCGCTCGCCCGACCCAACCGACCCTCACCGAGTGATTGTGCCGGTTCACGCAATCGACCACACCCGGCCGAATAAGGAGGGTACCACGGTAGATAGCCCTATACTGCTCAGTGGGAAAATTGGGACGGACTTAGTTAAAATCTTCGTAGACGGGGGAGCCAGCCACAGCCTCATTAACACTGCTACAGCACGCAAACTGCGACTGCCACTGGACCGATGCTTACCTGAGATCGACGCACGACTGGTAGACGGCACGCCGCTGGCAATACGGGAACGCGTAGACCGAGTTCGGATTCGATGCGGGGGTAACTTCACGTTTAGTCAGGAAATGCTCGCAACGACCCTCGACGGAACCGACATTTTACTCGGGCGTGATTGGCTGCGACGACACAATCCGCGAATTGACTGGACGACGGGTGACTGCACCGTGCGAGTAAACGGTAACAACATCGCCTTACCTCGCTGGGGCTCGCCTGAGTCTTCGTCGGTGCGTGTCAACGCGATCACGATGAAACGCGCTGTTGCGGCCGGAGCTGACGTGTACGCGGTTGACATTTGGGAAGCCGAGGCAGCAGACAAGGGGGGCGATTTACAGAAACTGCTGACCGACGTACCGAGTGACCTGGCGGCACTGTTAAAACAGTACAGTGACATTTTCCCGGATGACTTACCGACGGGACTGCCACCTCAGCGACCGCACGATCACAGGATAGAACTGGAACCGGGGGCACAGCCAACAGTACAGCGATAGTTCCGACTGACCCAACCCGAACTAAACGAACTAAGGAAGCAGCTCGATTACCTGCTCGAAAAGGAATTCATTCGCCCTAGTTCGTCGCCCTTCGCCGCACCAATACTGTTCACACCGAAAAAGGACGGGGGTTTTCGCATGTGCATCGACTACAGGGCACTGAACAGGGTTACCATCAAATCCCGTTACCCCATCCCACGAGCCGACGAACTGATCGACCAACTGCGCACAGCCCGGGTTTTCTCGAAAATCGACCTCCGAGGAGGCTACCACCAAATCCGCGTCAACCCACCCGACTGCCCTAAAACCGCATTCCGAACACGCTACGGATCCTTCGAATACACCGTCATGCCATTCGGACTGACCAACGCCCCCGCCACTTTCCAAATGACCATGAACGAAGCATTCCGCCCGCTTTTAGATAAGTGCGTCATCGTTTATCTGGACGACATACTGATTTACAGCCCTGACAGAGCAGAGCACT